TCCAATCAAATTTTATCTGAATTTTAACAAAAGTTTCTGATATCTAAGAACCTAAGTTAAAGCCTTATTAAGCTTCAATTTATTAGACTATGAAAAGCGAATTAAGTAAAAAAGGCTACTCTGATTTTAGATTTTTAGGACAGGGAGTATAGGGATTAGTTTTGTTAGCAAAAGATTCGAAAACTAACATGAGGGTTGCCATCAAAGGTGTTTAAGTTAGAGATCCTCAAGGTAATCTTGACGAAGATCTTAACAATCGAGTGAAACAAGAAGTAGAAATTCTCAAAAAATGTAGAGACTCTCCTTATGTAGTCAGTCTTATAGATTAATTTGAGGGATAACAATTTAGTTACTTAGTTCTAACTGAGTGTTAAGGTACAAATAATACTCATTTCTTTTTTAAATTAATAAATTAATCAAATCGCTTTATTGAAAGTCTTTAATGCAAAATTAAATACTATAAATAATAAGGAACTCTCACCTAAATTTTAGAAAGAAACTAAAACAAAAGATTGAATGAAATATCAGCAATCAAATATGCTAACGACATTGCTCAAGGTCTCTACTATATTCACTCTAAGAGCTGCCTTGTTAATGATCTGAAAATGGATAATATCTTAATTGACTATCATGGAAATGCAGTTGTTTGTAAATTTTTAACAAATCTAAATATGCTTGATTGATTTTCTTTAAAACATATAAAATAGCTGATTTTGGTTTGGCAGATAACCTAATAAACAAATCTGGCTATGCTATGAATCAATATGTATGCACTCATATTTTTATCATATGAAAGAGATATTCAAATAATTCAATTCAAAAAATTAAAGATGGGAAACTTCTTGTATCAAGCACCAGAGTGTTTTGACCCAGCAGATCCATTCATAGGTAAGGTTTATCATGATGAATATTAAAAATTAGGATTCAGTGTGAGACAATAGCCAAGCAACAGAGTAAATATTTTATTTAAATTATTTGTCTAAAAGCTAATTAATATTATTCTTATTTATTAATTTAAACAGAGTGAAGCATGCTCTTTAGGTATTATATGAAATAAAAAATATATTATTTGTTTTTATTTAACAAAAATAAATTATTAAAAAGGGTATCTTATATATACACTTGTCTAGGGAATAGATTTCAGTTTAGCATAAAATAAGCACAAACCATTAAAATATGATGGTGAATTTTAAAATTTTGTTTATCACAAATAGCTTAAATATATTATTGATGGATTAACTAATTTTGTTCCAAAGAATAGAATGCCTATTAAGGAGGCTTTAATTATTTTAAAGGGAATTATTTCTTTTGAATTTTAGTTAGATGAAATGCTTATTGAGACGATAGATGGAAACATCCAACAGTTCACAAGTTCACTCAAAAATTAAATCGAGTTTGTTAAAGATTTGTCAAATAAGTTTTACCCAATCATGTATTTTTATTTATTTGTTTGTTTTTTTATTTTAATCTATTTTTTGTTATATTTTTTAAAGTAAAAACGAACAGACCTTAAACTAAGAGTAAAAGAAGACCGGAAAAAAG